ATTTAAAAAAAAAAAAAAAAAAAAAGCAATCACACACTCAAATTAACCCTAAATCTCTTCTTGACCCGATCTGTCTCTCGCCTCTCTCACAACTGACATCGCAGAAGCAAAGCAAAACTAAACAGCAACCCCCACAAAACACGTCCTAATGCTGATCAACCTTGCCGCCAGCAATCCAAGCCCCGGCGCCAATCAACCTTGTCACAACTCCTGTTGCCCAGGCCCCTGACATTGCAGAAGCCCAAAACTCAATGTCCCTGACCTTACAAAGCCTATAAGAACTCCATACCCCCTTTTTTGGCATTTAAGCTTTGTTTTTATTTGGGCCAAAAGAAAAGCTTTGATTTTTATAGTATTTAAGCTTTATGGTTCTATTCTCTTGCTGATTTTTCCTTTTTTTCTTTTTGTATGAATGTAAATAAAAAGTTGTAGAAAATTTTTCAATGAATCCTAAGATGGTTGCTGGTTTCAAATTCTGTCCATTTAACAAGATTGGAAGCTGAAGAGAGGCATGAGGATTATTAGATTCTCTTAAATAATAAATTTTAAATTCTTAATTCTTAGAAATTGGAATTGTCAGCTGCCTGTGTGTTTTATTTTATTGTCTTATAGCTCTATCTATTCTGATTGTTGTGACTTTATTTACTTGAGAGTATTATGTTATTAAATCATTTTAAGTTATAAGGTCATTTGGAATTGTCTTATTTTCCTTTTAAGTTATTAAGTCATTGAAAGCTTTTTTGTTATTAGGTCCATTATTCTGCTTATTAAATTTCTATATTTTTGTTTTTCTAATGGCCACTACTGCTTCACTATCCACTATGCTATCATAGCGGATTGTTACCTTCCCGCTATTGGCCACTATCTGCTACTGATAAATTTGTGCCACTATGACATAGGATTAATAGATCAATTATGCTTTTGGCTGATTGAACTAAGAGAGGCAATATTGGTTGAAAACATAACACCAATTACTGTAGCAATGGGGAAAGCAAATAAGAGATAAGGACAAATTACACTGAAGAACACATGAGAAATGATAATCTATAGACAGTGAATGATGAGAGCAAGATGAAAAGACTGTTAAACAATTTCTAAGTCTTCATGCCATTATCAGCTAAAATATTCATAATCTCATCAAGTAAAAGTCCAGTAAGTTATGAAAAGTATATTGGAACTTGATTCTTCTAGGGACTATTTAGCCTATTTCTTAAGTGAATAGGATTGGGTTAGGATTTCAAAATTATTGGAATATAAATTGCAATATTGACTAAATAAATATATAACGACTTGGATCAAAGAAAACAAAATGTAAACTGAATCCTAGAATCCTGTGAACTAAAATTATATTAAAGTCCCTGGAATTTCAATTCAGACTGACTAATTGTAATACCAAGAATGCCCTTAATGATCATCGGGCGCATGCAGAATATTAATAGTATTTTTTTTTTTCCTTTCATACTCGGACTGGCACTAAAATTAGGTAATCTGGATTCCGGAATGGGAAACAGTTTTCTGATTATATTATATAAATAACCCTGGAGTACAGGAATTGCAGAAAGTTTCAATACTGTTCCTAAATTTGAACCAGCCTCATAATACAGAACTACCAATTGATAATTTTAAATTAC